GGCCTTCACTTGGTCCAGGAATCAGCTGGTTCTTATGCAGAGACTTAAGTGTCTTTCAGGTGATTGTGCCCTTTTGTTCTTCTTTTCATGAATAAAACCTGACACATTGGCACAGGATAAATTTTAAGTTCCTGGGCAAAGCCATCATTGAGAACTAGCCCTTGCTTTCATATACAGTAAACTGTAAAATGCCTCTCTTGTGATATGCAGTGTCTTTCTTGATGATGTGCTGAAATAAGGTGGGTAGATGATGTTTAATTTGGGGTTTGCCACTTTTTCTGTACTCCAAGCTCTAGTTTTTCAGTTTTGTCTTTTCATAGGTTTCAGTGTCCAAGTGGGCTGTATTTTGTGGTTGCCTTTACAAATCTAGAATGCAACAGAACTATTTCCCCAATGTGACTTCAATTGAACAATGAAATAATAGCATTTCTTTTCTGCAGAATATTTTAGGATCCATAGATGTGCAAGGTAGGATCCTTGCTTTCTGTCAAGGGTATATCATATAACAGGCTAGGTGCCCTACTCAGATCACCACAAACTACAATGTCAGGTAGTATATGAGTATTGGGCGTTTCCCCAAGTTCTGTAGGTAAGTTGAAAGATCAGTCACTACCAGAGAAAAGGGGTCTATTGGATGGGTAGGTTTCAGACAGGGCTTTGGGAAGCCCATCATACCAAGCAAAGAGAAGAATGTAAACATAGCTGCAGTTATGGCAGGTTGGGGGGGGGGGGGGGTGTAGGCTTGAGAAAGAGGTCTGGAGTGGTGGTGTCTGTGTGTTGGGAAGAACACTACTCTAAAGCACATTGGATCCTTGAATGTTTGGGCAATGAATGTAGATTTCAGTTGATAGTAATTTCAAGAGTCACTGCTTTTGAGCAAAGAAATGAAGAAAGGCAATTTGGTGATAAGACTGGATAGATTTGGACAAGAGTTTTTAGGCACCAGTTAATGGGTTGGTGTCACTGAGAAAAGGGTGTTAGTAGAATTGGCAAATAACTGTCAAAGTTGGAGGATGTGGGGCTAGAGGTGCCATTGTAAGAATAATGGTACCTTTAATTGAAATTGGAAATTGCAAGAACTATTTGAAGTGAGTTAGGTTTTAGAAATTTTGAGTGTTTCAGTTGTAATGTAGAAGTGGAACTAGATGAATATTTGGATATTGTTTCCATAGTTGAAACCTTGGGCAGTGATGTTTATTGTGATCTCACTTAAATTTGCCAGGGTTGGGGCGCCTGGGTGGCTCAGTTGGTTGAGGTCTGACTTTAGGTCATGACCTCACTGCTCATGAGTTCGAGCCCCACGTGGGGCTCTGTGCTGACAGCTCAGAGCCTGGAGCCTGCTTCACATTCTGTGTCCATCTCTCTGCCCCTCCCCTGCTCATGCTCTGTCTCTCTCTCAAATATAAAAAAATAAAAACGTTTAAAAAAATTAAAAAAAACTTGTCAGAGCACAAAGAAGGATGGTCCTGGATGCACATCACACTGTACATTGGTTACATATGGAGTGTGGGGGTAGGGCTTTATTACCATTTTTTAAAATGTTAGAGAGCAAGCAAGGGGGGGGGCAAGAGAGAGAGAGAAAGAGAGAATCACGAGAGAATCTGTATACTGATAGTGCAGAGCCTAATGTGGGGCTCAATCTCATGAATCATGAAAACATGTCCTGAGCTGAAATCTCGAGTCCGATGCTCAACCGACTGAGCCACCCAGGCACCCCTTACTGCCAGTTTTTAAAACATGTTTTGGTTTTCTAAATGTTTCATCTGTAATTTAGAGAACAATAAAAGGGTTGACTATTTGTAGTAAAAGGTACAGTAATTACTCGAAAAAGAGAACTTGGACGTTTCTGAAATCTGCAGAAAAGTATGTAGAGAAAAAAACCCTGATTTTGGACCCATGGGAGAATGCACAAATTTAAGGAGCAGGAAAAATAAAAGCCAGCAGGAGTTCACTGTTTGAGGAAACGGAGGCATTAGGTGTAAGTATAAAAGTTAAACTTGATTTCCTAAAGGTTACTATTAAGAAAAAGATACCCAAGATTTAATAGGAACAAATACGTGCATTTTGGTTATTTTTAATTAATGTTTTTAAAAATAACTGTTTAAAATATTTTTAGTGATTATGAATTATAAAGGATATGTTCTTTTAAGATTTTAAAACTTGTTAAAATGTATGTATCGCTACAAACTGATCTTGAAGATAATTTAGTAATTTGGTGTCTGGACATACAGTACTACTGGAATTACTTTAGGGATTAGAACATAAGGAGTAAGATTTTTAAAAATATTGCTTGATCTGTTCTGTTGAACTCTGACTTTACAGAACTTTTACTGGCCTTTAAACCTAAATTGTCTTGAGGCTTAGTGTTCGTAACTTTGAAAATATTCATATTTCCTAATTAAGGGTAGAATGGAATAACTGTAGTAGAAAAACATTCTTAAAAATATGTTCAAATGACCTTTCTTTTTTTTTTTTGTTTAGGTATATTTGTATCCAGTATTGTTCTGATCTTGTCACAACGATCACTTTTCAAGTTTTACATGTACAGTTCAGCCTTTCTATTAGCTGCAACTTCAGTGTTGGTAAATTATTATGCTTCTTTGCACATTGACTTCTATGGTGCCTACAACACATCAGCTTTTGGAATTGAGCTGCTTCCTCGAAAAGGGCCCTCGCTGTGGATGGCACTCATCGTTCTCCAGCTGACCTTAGGAATTGGATACATTACACTACTGCAAATCCATTCCATCTATTCACAGCTAATTATTTTGGATCTCTTGGTTCCTGTGATAGGCCTGATCACAGAGCTGCCATTACACATCCGAGAGACTTTAGTTTTTACTTCTTCCTTGATTCTCACATTAAACACAGTGTTTGTCTTGGTAGTGAAACTTAAGTGGTTTTATTATTCTACACGGTATGTTTATCTTTTAGTGAGGCACATGTATCGAATTTATGGATTACAGTTATTGATGGAGGACACATGGAAGAGGATTCGTTTCCCAGATATACTGAGAGTCTTCTGGCTAACCAGAATTACCGCTCAGGCTACGGTGTTGATGTACATTTTAAGGATGGCAAACGAAACGGATTCCTTCTTTATTTCTTGGGATGATTTCTGGGACCTCATTTGCAATCTTATAATTAGTGGATGTGATTCTACGCTAACTGTACTGGGCATGAGTGCTGTAATTTCCTCTATAGCCCATTATTTGGGCCTTGGAATATTGGCCTTTATTGGATCGACTGAAGAAGATGACAGGCGACTTGGCTTCGTAGCGCCGGTTTTATTTTTTATTTTGGCTCTTCAGACTGGTCTGAGTGGGCTAAGACCAGAAGAGAGACTTATTCGCTTAAGCAGAAACATGTGCCTTTTATTAACTGCAGTCCTGCATTTCATCCATGGAATGACAGACCCTGTATTAATGTCTCTCAGTGCCTCTCATGTGTCATCTTTTCGTAGACATTTTCCCGTGCTCTTTGTCTCGGCTTGCCTGTTTCTCCTTCCTGTTTTACTCAGTTATGTGCTTTGGCATCACTATGCACTAAATACATGGTTGTTTGCAGTGACAGCCTTTTGTGTGGAACTCTGCTTAAAAGTCATTGTTTCTCTCACCGTTTATACATTATTCATGATTGATGGCTACTATAATGTCCTTTGGGAAAAGCTTGATGATTATGTCTACTATGTTCGTTCAACAGGCAATATTATTGAATTTATATTTGGAGTAGTTATGTTTGGAAATGGGGCTTATACTATGATGTTTGAGTCAGGAAGTAAAATTCGAGCTTGTATGATGTGTCTACATGCATATTTTAACATCTACTTACAAGCAAAAAATGGCTGGAAGACGTTCATGAATCGTAGGACTGCTGTTAAGAAAATTAATTCACTTCCTGAAATCAAAGGGAGCCGCTTACAAGAAATCGATGATGTATGTGCAATCTGCTATCATGAGTTTACAACATCTGCTCGCATCACACCATGTAATCATTATTTCCATGCACTTTGCCTTCGGAAATGGCTGTACATTCAGGATACTTGTCCAATGTGCCATCAAAAAGTGTACATCGAAGACGACATTAAGGATAATTCAAACGTATCTAACAACAATGGATTTATTGCACCCAATGAGAATCCAGAGGAAGCTATGAGAGAAGCTGCTGCTGAATCTGACAGGGAACTAAACGAAGATGACAGTACAGATTGTGACGATGATGTTCAAAGAGAAAGAAATGGAATGATTCAGCAACACACAGGCCCTGCAGCTGAAGAATTTATTAATGATGATACCGACTGATTAAAATAGCATTTACTAATCATTGAGGTATTTGTTTAAAATTGAGTTCATCCAAAATGGAGTAATACGCTTCACTTCAGTGTGTAACCAAGCACAAAAACAGTATCCATGTTCAATCTGTGAATGGTTTTCCGTTTACTGTGATGTGCTACTGTAAATATACCTCTTTAATTACTTCTGGTCTCTTTGGTGACCTATTTAAATTTGTGTACATTATTGTACATAGAATAAAATGTTTTCACGTTTTTATGACAAAATTTGAACTAGCTTTTTAATAGATGTAATAATACAGTGCGTCAGCTGTGCCAAAGATTCCTCAATGAAAGCATTTAAAAGTTTCTAACTATGGACCTTAGTTTTTTTTTTTTTTTTTAAATGGATGGGAGGAATGAAAATGCAAATCAGAGGAAATCACATTAAATCAAAGAAGCAAAACAATTTGGACCAGAGGATAAAGGCTATATGTAGAGTGTTTTTTTAAAACAAAGGCAAAGATAGGCTGCCAGGAGACTTTTTTGAAATTTGAGAGTAGCGCCTTGTGAAGCTGAGGTGGAAAGTCATGATTCAGAGATTGTGTAAGAGTTGAGAAACAGGCTTATCTCAACTAAACTCTGGGATATAAACCAGAATGTGCTACCTGTTTAATTTTGATGTCAAAAAAAACCACACACACACACACACACACACACACACACACACCCACACCCACCCACCCACCCACCCACCCAGTATGTTTATTGGCCATTCTGTGTTTGCAGCATTGACATAAAATTGGCCTTTCAGACTTTGGAAGAGATTACAAAATGAAATATTTGGGAGTTTTCATTGTTGTAAACTAAGACATTAACTGACATTAAAAAAATTTGGATCTGGCTTTATGGATAAAAATGAGAGGGATGCTGTGCACATAATACCTGTTTAGACAACTTCCAGAGCTTTTCTTTATTCAATCCGTTAGAAGGTTTACCATGAAATTTTACATAACATGATGGAAAATGGAAAGGACATACCAATTACATGTCAGGAAAAAATATTTTAATGGTGTTGTTATATAACGTATTGGCTAATTCCAGTGGATCCTGCTCTCTCACTGCTGACATTATCTCCAGTATTTGACTAAAAGAGAAAACAAAATGGATGGTTATTTCTAAGTACCTGCTCAGTTTTAAAGGTACTCTCTTTTTCCACGCCAAGGAAGCTCTTGGACTAGCACCTTTAAGATAATAAGCTTTAACCAGCTATAAAGTTTTCAGTATTATCAACAGAAAAGTTTAACTGCTGTGATATTTAAAAGAGTACGTGGAGACAAAGTTCTGGGGCAGTCTTGCATATAAGTAGAGCCAAGGACCAGGTTCAAATAAATTCTAAAACCAGCCCATATTGTGTCCACCACAGTGAATGGAACTAGCCCAGTGAAAACGTTATGCATTCATTAGTGGGTCATGATGAATTTTCAGAAAACTGTAAGGAAAGGAAAAGTACATTGCACTTAGTAAGGGAAGCACTGTTTCATTTTTGTTTGGTTTTATATGTACATGTGTGCTGAGTCGCAAGGTAGGTGGTATTGTGGGTATGGCAAAGCCTAGTGCCTCTGCTAAGAGAATTAGTCTCAAAGGACAGCAAGAAATTGCTACGTCATCATTAGCACAACGACCGCAAAGGAAGTTAGAAGTTATGGTCACTGGGGGGAGGAGAGGTGCTTGCTCTTCCTGTACTTTTTCCCTGCAAGATCAAGAATAGCCTGGGTGTCCGATCTTTCAGCTTCTCTGCCTAGAATCATTATCATCATGAGTGTTCTCTAGCCGTACTATGTGTAGATAATGTTTTTATACATCAATTAGAAAGTTCTAAAGTCCAAATTAAACATTTAAATATTTTTTGTGTTAAGTTTTTTGTCCCTGGTATGGGATTCTTAAATATAAACACCTAAAGGAATTAGGGACAGACTAGAGATTAACTGGAATTTTTTAAGTGCATAATCGTAATGCAAAAGCTTCGCTTAATATAGACTTAATTTTTGTTATCTAGGTCAAAATATGCTAAAAGCAAATCTTTTTAAATTGACATCAAAGACCCAATTTTCTTCAGCTACAGACCTTCCTCTGTTAACTACTCAGAATTAGAACTTACTGCATAATACAGTGTGAAAGCAGTAAGGTTCCTGCCACCCATTCTCCTTTTTCTGTCCTTTCTCTGTGTTGATACGTTAATAGCTTTTTAAAAACAATTGCCACTTTCCTGCTGAAAATCCTTTGGGTCCTGATGAAATCTAAACTACTAAGCTTGGCATACAGGAGCCCTCACCAATCTGGCCTCACTGTACCTTCCCAGACTTCTTACTTACCTGTGCATCCTACTTTTTGCCACAGTAAACTCATTGTTTCCCCTACGAGGAGCCAAGCCCTTCTGCGCCCTGCATTTGCTCAAGGCGTCTGTCTTGGTCTGGCCTAACTCCCAGTTGTGCTTCATGACCAGTTGAAATGTCACCTTCGTTAAGCCATTTCCCCTCAAGCCGGGTAGTGACTCTGCCCTGTGCTCCTAGCTGTATATTCATACCTCCGTGACAGAATTAACATCTTGGATTCTACTTTCTGCTTCTTTGCTTCAGGAGGGCAAAGATCCCTGACACCTTCAATGTCTTATCCAACAAAGTGCCTGGCAGAATGTACCTAGTCATCTGGTGGGTGGATGCGGGCAGGGACTGTCGTGATTCTTCATTGCAACCTCAGTAACTTGTACCTTTCTGACATACAATAGCTTCAAAATGTGTTTCAAGGAATTTATAATATAAAAGGGAGAAAAGATCTCTAAAAATAATTAAAACTGTTAACAGATGGGATTGATAAAAATGACTTTTTAAGTAGGAATTAGTAACAAAAATGACTTTAAGTAGGAATTCGTAATGAGCGTTAGACTAGAGGAGTGTGTGTTTTTGAAACGTAGTTTAAAAATTCTCAGTTTGTAAATGCTGGCTTTCCCAAGCTCAGCTGCCTCAGCTGGGGTTCATAATTGCAGTTGAGACTCCAGCTTCTTGTTTCTTAACAGTCTGCATTTGGAACACCTTAGAATTCTGTTTTGCAAACGTGTAACTTAGGTGCACAGCTGTATTGCACTTAAGGCAGTATAAAAAACTGAGTTGGATCACTGTTGGCCAATACTTCCTCTAAGCTGGCTGCTAGAAAAATACCAGTTTCTTGTCTTTTTAAATCTCCAAAGGATTCAGAAATAATTGTCTTCTGACAATTTGCAGGTACCTGCATTTTATAAAAGTTATAAGTAATTCTTTACTAACCAGAATTAAATATATTCCTCAGCCTATGGGTTTTAAAACATTCGGTTTAAAAATCTTTGCCAACACCAGAATGTTAATAAAGTCTTTCTAGTATTTTTTATAGGGTAATTTTTCACTCTTCTGCCTGCTGCATTTTAGACCTGGCTTACCTGATACACTTATCTGTGAAAAACTACTTTAAAAATGTATATGAGAGGAATTATTAGATACCTAAAATTAATAGTTCAATTGCCTGAACTGGTAAACCATACTAGATTGATATAGTATAAATTTAAATTAAAACTGGATGATGTGCCCATTAAAATGATATAAATTTAACATGTAAATTATATGCTCTATAGCTCCTTACCAGTTAGATGGCTAAACAGCCCCTCTTTTCATATGCTACATATATTATAATAAAAAACTGACTTTGAATTACTGGGTTTTTTTTTTTTTTTCTCCTTTTGGGTTAGAAAAGGAAATCCTTTCTATAACTTGCCCTTTTGTACAGAGGCTCAAAGAAATGTGTTACTACTTAGGTTTATTCAGGTTGTCAAATCATTTAAAATACGGATGCCATTAAAAAGGTCTCCTGCTAAGAGTGCGTTTTTATAATCATAAGCCGGGAAGCAGTATGAGAATCTTTACTGCCTTTCCTACAAAATGACAAATGACCAAAATCACATGAAGTTCTTCCTGCTGTAATAAAACCACTTTTATTGAGTTGGGAGGTTGAGATGATATGAAGAGGGGCGGAGCTAGAGCAATTCAGGTGCAAATCCTTTCAAATCACTGCATTAAAATGGTGTCCTTTGATCAGAACTTCATTTGAATTTCACCCAACTTCAATTAGTCCCTGAGTTCATTCTGTAAATGGCATCTGGTAGTGGACTTTAATGTTCTGAAGACCATGAAAACAGAATACTTACATTATATGGCAGGGTTCATTCCTGTCTTTCACACAGTGCCCGTTTTCCCATTTCTTTTTGGTAGGAAATGAAGTTTTAATATATTTTGATCCAGCATGTGTACTTTTCACTCCACACCAAGGTGCGTCTGGAGTTAAGCAGAGAAGTCTTTTCAGAGATTTACCTTTCAAATTAATTTTTTAAATGTCTGATTTTGAGAGAGAGGGTGCGCTTGTACGAGCGGGATAAGGGCAGAGAGAGAGGGACAGGCAGGGAATCTGAAGCAGCTTCAGGCTCTGAACTGTTAGCACAGTGATGCGGGGCTCAAACTCAGGAACTGTGAGTTCACCACCTGAGCTGGAGTCCGATGCTTAACTGACTGAGCCACCCAGGCACCCCTCAAATTATTGCTTTTGTAATGAACATCGTCAAACAAATGTGTAAATCCTAAAATATAAACTGTGATTCAGCTTAAAAAATGGCAAAAAGCAAAAAAAATTGAAAGCACAAGATTAGCCCTAGAACTGTACAAATTTTTAAATGCTTTTTTAAAATGTTAATTGCTTTTTAGGACTCCTGTATTTTTTTCTGCTAACATACTGTTGGTGTATGACATACTTTTAAAAAAGAAAGCTTAAAGAATACAAATTGTAACCTGAAAACACCTCTGCCTCTCCTGAATGTGAAACAGTGGCTTTATAGTCTGGGATATATAAAGATACTTACCTCTTTAATAAAGAATGGTAAGAATTCACATTTTACAAGCATTGTACTTTTAGTAACATTTCGTTGTCAGGAAATAAACCTGATTCTTCAGAATGGCTTAGTCTTGACTTTACTAAAAAGTCCATATGTGTAAGTAAAGCCTTAAGTTCAGGGTTAGGTAAATTGTTAGCTTCTAATATTTTATTATTTTAAGAGGCAACACATTTCTAAAATTTAAAAAAGATTTTTTTAATGTTTTATTTCTGAGAGAGAGAGAGAGAGAGAGAAATACAGAATCTGAAACAGGCTCCAGGCTCTGAGTTGGCTGTCAGCACAGCCAGATGCAAGGCTTGAACCCACAAACTGCAAGATCATGACCTGAGCCAAAGCCAGGCGCTTAACTGACTGAGTCACCCAGGAGCCCCTAAAATTCTTTGACTAAACCAATTTGATTTAAAGTTTTGTACTTTATTTGGAAAGTATTGTAGAATTAAGCCATTTACAAAGATGACACTGTGTAAAAAAATTCTGAAGTTTTTGAAACCCTGAGGTGAAATAATTAGTTAAGACTATTTTTTTTAAGACCTCTTGTTTAATAAAGTATTTATAAATTACAACCTCCTTAGTTACCACATATTCTGACATTCCATTGTTGAATGCTTAGCTTACACTGACTTTGAAAACTGAAAAACGTGACTATAAATAACTTTTCTAACAATTAATAAACCTCAAAGGTTTTCTGAAAAGTGTAATTGTTGAGGTTGAGCGTTTTTAAGATATTTACCTTTTGTCTAGCTGTTTTGGTATGGTTTAATATGAAAATGAAGGTTTGAAAAGCATAAACTTACCAGTTTCAATCATTAATTTCTCACTAGGTATTGACTTCAGAACTTCCAAGTTAGCCTCAGTTTTCAGTGAGCTTAAAAAAATTTTCAGAGATAATAAAAAGGTATATTTAATGAAAATTTTTTCATATTATAAGCTTACCTAAAACAGATTACAGAACCTAAAACCCCCAAACAAAACTCTGGTTGGCTCTAATGGGCCACATTTCTTTTTTTGTTTAATATATTTTTTTATTTTTTTAATTTAGTATACACATTTTTATCCTTACAGAATCCGGATTAAGAACTGTTCCAACCACATCCTGCCTTTAGGGGAATGCAGTTTTTCTGTGCTTATCAGTTGACTCCAGTAACTGGAGTCAGGCTTTTTATTTAGCCTGTGTAAACCTTTTAAAACATTCATTTGCTTCTCTGGGTAATTTGCATAACGTAGAAAGGCTCAAAATGCTGAATTTGAAGGTATGGTCAGTTCTGTTATTGGCTAAATATTGGTACAAAGGAATCAGACAAAGTTAAAGTTTCACTAGCCAGAAATAGAATCTTCACAAAGGATGAAAATCACAGTCACAGAACAAGGAGTATTTAACAAGGAATGAAAACGACAGCTTAGTTTGGAGATGCCAGTTTGAGTCTCATTCTTTCTTTGGTGCCCTTTTCTCCACATCTGGAAACAGGATCTTCCATTACTTTTGACATTCTGAAACTTGAAACTTGATGTGTCTGGGCAAGAGACTATTTTCATTCATTTAGGGAAGTTTGAACCCTTCCAATTTAGAAACTCCCCGCCCCCCGCCCCGGTCGGAAAAATTATGGGCAAAAAGAAATATTCCTCTCTTGTTTTCTCTCTTTCTGGGACTTTTGAGGGTCAATTTTAGGACTCCTGAATTAGTCTGCTAGGCCTCGTTTCTTTCATCCTTTCCTGGGAAGTTAACATTCATTTCCTTTAATTTTTCAGACCATGAGACAGACTGTATTATTGGTCCTGGTTCTTCACTTTCCTTTAATAGAAATGTATCTATATCCTTGCCAGGGTTTCTTATTAGGAACGAGCATCTTGAATCTGGCCATGACCAGAAGCTTAAAATGTACTTTTTTGATTTGGATGGCACTTTTGTGATCTGAGAGTAGCATGCATTAAACATCTGTTGCCTCTTCTGCTTGGGCATCTAGAATGAAAACACATAACTTGGACCTGAATTCCACATGTGGCCTGAGATCTGCCTCTGTCAGTCAACCACTAACCCAAAGACCCATGGAAAAAAAAGCCTCCCATCATAAACCAATGAGTTTGGGGATGGTTTGCTATATAGTGTAATGATGATTAATTCTGTCCTTATGTTGCATTTTTAATTTTAGCATATATATAACTTTCTTTCTGGAGAGGTTAAAATAATAAAACTAGAATATAGAACCCACACATACTCATTACTTGGCCCCATCAATTATCAACTCCTGGCTGATAACTATCCCATCCACTCATCTCAAACCTCTTCTATATAACCTTAAAGGAAATTCAAAATGTTATAGTTTCTACATTTTAGCATTTAGTTCAGAAAGTATTTCAGCATGTATCTTTAAGCATGAAGATTTTTTCAAATGAAACCACAGTACTATTCTCATGTCTTAAAAAACCCAACTCTTAATATATCCAGTATTCAAACGGTTTCAGTGTCCTACATTCTTGTTAAATTTGTTTGACTTAGGATCCAAATGGGGGCCGCACATAGCAGTCTAAATCTCTTAACCTATTTTATTAAATTTTCTGTAACTCTTTTACCCTTAAAATGTATTTTATGAAGAAACCCAATTGTTTGCCTTGAAGCTTCCTGGTCTTGATTCCATCTGTGTTCATCTGGCTTTGTGTCAGGGCTCTGTATTTTGTTCTGTTGATGTGAATGTCTTTTTCTGCCAGTACCATACAGTTAGGTAGGTTCCTCTATGTTTTTTTAATAGAAGCATAGTGAACATACTATAGCAGTTACAGGTGGAAACCATAGAGATTTGATATTTGTCTACACTACAAAATGCTCACCAGTAAGCATCTGTCACCAAACTTATTACAATATTATTGACTATATTCTCTATATTATACTTTGGATTCCGTGACTAATTTACAACTGGAGTCTGTACCTCTTAATCCCCGTAAAACAGCCACCAGTTTGTTCTCTGTGTATTTCTGAGTTAATTTTTTTGTTTGGTCATTTTTTAGATTCCACATAAAAGTGAAATTGTATAGTATTTCTTTCTTTGACTTATTTCATGTAGCATAATACCCTCTAGGTCCATACATGTTACAAATGGCAAAATTTCTTTTTTTAAATGGCTGAGTAACATTCCATTGTATACATATATACACATATTATCCATTCATCTGTTGACAGGCACTTAGATTTTTCCGTATCTTGGCTATTGTAAATAATGCTGCAGTTAACACAAGGATGCATGTATCATTTTGAATTAGTGCCATCAGTTTTTTTCAGGCAGATAAGCAGAGGTGGAATTACTGGACTGTGTGGTATTTCTATATTTTAATTTTTTGAGGAACTGCCATACTATTTTCCATAGTATCTGCACCAATTACATTCCCACCAACACTGCATAATGGTTCCCTTTTCCACACATTTGCCAACACTTGTTATTTCTTGTCTTTTTGATACTAGCCATTCTGACAGGCGTGAGGTGATACCACACTGTGGTTTTGATTTGCATTTCCCTGATGGTTAGAGAGACATTGAGCATCTTTTCATTGTCTGTTGGCATTTGTATCTTATGTTTGAAGAAATATTTCTTCAGGTCCTCTAACCATTTTTAAATCAGATTGTTTTCATTGGTGTTGAATTGTAGGGTTCTTTACATGCTTTGGATATTAACCATTTATCAGGCTTATCATTTGCAAATAGGTTCTTCCATTCAGTATGCTGCCTTTTTGTTTTGTTGATGGTTTCCTATACTGTGCATAAGCTTTTTACTTCAATGTAATTCCCATAACTTATTTTTTCTTCTGTTTCCCATGTCTGAAAACAGATCCAAAAAATATAGCTAAGACTGATGTCCAAGAGTTTAGTGCCTATGTTTTCTTTTAAAAGAGTTTTATGGTTTCAGATCTTACATTTGGGATTTGGGTCTTTAATCCATTTTGAATTGTTTTTATGATGTAAGAAAGTGGTCCAGTTTTCCCAGCACCATTTATTGAAGAGATCTTTTCCCCTGTGTATTCTTGCCTTTGTTGTAAACTAATTAGCTGTACAAGTATGGATTTATGCTGGAGCTCTGTATTCTGTTCCATTGATCTGTGTGTCTGGTTTTACAAAATTTTAATCTCCACACCCAACATGGAGCTTGAACTCATTACCTCAAAATCAAGAGTCACATGCTCCTCTGACCAAGCCAGCCAGTCACTGCCTCCTGTGTTTTGGTGCCAGTACCATATAGTTTTGATTACTGTAGCTTTGTAGTGTAGTAAATCTGGGATTGTGCAGCTTTGTTCTTTTTCAAGATTGCTTTAGCTCTTCAGGGTGTTCTGTGGTTCTATACACATCTTAGAATTTTAGTTCTGTGAAAACTACTACTGGTGTTTTGATAGGGATTGCATTGAATCTGTGAATTGCTTTGAGTTGAACAGACATTTTAACAATATTAGTTCTTTCAATCCACGAACATGGAGTATATTTACATTTATCTGTGTCATCTGCACTTTCTTTTATCAGTGTCTTAGAGTTTTCAGAGTCTTTAACTTCTTTGGTTAAATTTATTCCTACATATTTTATTCTTACATAGTTGTAAGTAGGGCTTTTTAAATGTTTACTTATTTATTATGAGAGAGAGCACAAGCACAGGAGGTGTAGAGAGAGAGGGGGGAGAGAATCCCAAGCAGGCTCCACACTGTCAGCACAGAGCCCAATAGAGGGCTCAATCCCACAAACCATGAGACCATGACCTGAGCCAAAATCAGAGTCAGACACTTAAACCACTGGAGCCACCCAGGCGCCCCAGTGGGATTTTCTGAATTTCTCTTTGCACTCATTTTAGTGTATAGAGACCCAATTGATTTTTGTACATTAACTTTCTATCCTGTAGCTTTAGTGAATTCATTTATTCTAATTGTTTTATAGTGGAGTCTTGAGGGCTTTCTAAAAATACTATGTCACTTGAAAATAGTGACAGCTTTCCTTCCTCCTTGCCAATCTGGATGGCTTTTCTTTTTCTTGTCTGATTGCTGTGGTTATGACTTCCAGTACTTATGTTGAATATAAGTGGCATGAGAGGACATCCTTGTCTGTCTTGTTCGAATCTCAGTCGAAACGCTTTCAACTTCTCTACACTGAGTTTGATGTTACTTGTTGGCTTGTCATTTCTGGACTTTACTATGTTGAGGTATGCTCCCTCTATACTCACTTTATTGACAGTTTCTATGAATGGATGTTGAATTTTATCAAATGCTTTTTCTGCGTCTGTTGAGATGATCATATGATTTTTATCCTTCATTTTGTTAATGTGCTATTAGATTTTCTGACATTGAACCATCCTTACATTCCCTGGAACAAATCCTACTTGGTCATGATGAATGATCCTTTTAATGTATTGTTGAATTCAGTTTGTTGATATTTTGTTGAGGAATGTTGTAATCATGTTTATCAGATATCTGCCTGTATGTGCTTTTTCTACTTTGTAGTGCCTGTGGTTCTTGGTATCATGAATTTGGAAGGATTCCTTCCTCTTCAGTGTTTTGGAATAGTTTCAGAAGAATAGGTAGTAACACTTCTTGAAATGTTTGGTACAACCTATCTGTAAAACCATCTGATCTAGGACTTGTTTGTTTGTTGGGAGTTGTTGGATTTTTTTTGTTGGTTGGGTAGTTTTGTTTTTTTTTTTTTTTTTACTAACTCCGTTTCATTAGTAGTGTTCACTCTGTTCAGATTTTGTTTCTTCCTAATTCATTTTTGGTATTTTTCTGGGAATTTATCCATTTCTTTTAGGTTGTCCAGTTTGTTGGTGTATAGTTTTTCCCAGTAGTCTCATAATCCTTTCAATTTTGTGGTGTTGGTTATTTGTCATTCCTGATTTTGAATCCTCT